CAAACTTTTAGAAATGAATTCCATTGAATCTCTCTTTTGCTGTTTACGTCTCTGTCTCACTCCACCCCCTCCATCAGAAGTGAGAGATGGACAGGCTCCTACTGACTGCCTCGGACACAAGGGGGCTGCACTTTGACCTTTACCCCTCCTCCCTCCATCCCTGCCCTTTAGTAGAACTGAATTGATCTCCTTTCCCGCCCTAATTCTCCCTTCTTGAACCTCCTTGTACTGCCCTAACTCTACTAGCTTTCTCGTCATTGAATGGAGCGCATGCAGTCCTGTTGACAGTCATTCACTGTTTGCTCTACTGATTGAGGGCTTTCACAAATCATTAACAACAAAGCTGCTTTAAGTTAGTTTTAAATGATCCTAAACATTTCTACTTCCATTTCTCCTCATTCCAAGAGCATTTTCTTCCCTACAAGGCACCTTAAAGATAAGCTACTGAGTGACCTTCCTCCTCTTTCTCTCTGCTCCCTCTATCTATTCATCAATCAATCTATTTCTTCACTGAAGCGTCAGCAAACTATCTGTTCCATCTCCCTCCTCCTTTGGTCCCGCCCAACTATAGATTCTCCCAGAAACAGAAGTGAACCTGCTTTGGAACAGATGCATAAGAATGTAAAGACTCAAAGAAGCCATTTCCATCTCTGAGGCACACATTAGAGTGACTCAAAGGGATGGAAAGACACATACGTAGTAACACACATTTGCACATACAGAAAACCGACCAGTTCCAGATGATCCCCGATCCCACAGATCTCTAGTTCCCATGCCCACCCAGTGTGTGAATGTGATTGGTTGTAATGTGTGTGTCTGTGTGCGTACGTGTGCGTAAGTAACATTACTCCCACCATTCTGCCACATGTCAGCAGTTGCTCAGTCATCTTTGACACAGACACACACACAGGATTACAGCCCTGCAGAGAAGTACTTGTCTCTGCATGCATATGGCCTACACACCATAGGCCTCAACTCCTTTATATAACAAGTGCCATATATATTGTTTAATGGAGCTGGTCTTTCCAGTAATCCAGAGCACAGTAAACTACATACTGTGTAAGAAATGTTATAAGGCAATTGATTTTTAAATCTCCATCAAAATCAATGATGATCAATGAACTGTATTTGACCTGATTAATTCGACACAACGCTGTCAAGAATCACTAGGTTTCCACTTTTGGACTAACAAGAGTCAAAGAGAGAGGCGTGTGTGAGGGTGACAGAGGGAGAAAGCACTACAGAGGCTAGCTGTTTGTTTTCTGCTAAACAAACCAGCGTTGCCTTAGCGCAGGGCATCAGGCGAAGCTGATTTTAGCTTCTGGGATTCAAGAGAACTCGAGACGCATCTTGTGATGGAGTTGACAGGAAAACAACCACGCAGTTTCGCAGGAAAAAAAAAAATCGCACACTGTGAAACACAAACACGGGCAGATCTTCACAGAAAACAAGTCTCACCTCATTTGACTTTTCTGGTTCTTATTCAATTAACTACAGTATGATGAAAAGATGAAGCAGACCACAAAAGCTAGCCTAGGTTACCCAAGCATGTGGCTAATTATTTGATCCTCTCTACCTGCCGATTCAAAAAATAATGAATAGACAAATTAGCCTATAAAGATAGATAAAAAGTTACATTTGTTTGTGTGACGCTGTAGCATGTCACATCAGGGTAAGCAGACTCGGCTCAGTCAGTGCCCTGAATGTCACATGACCAGCTGAGACTCTTGTTCTACATCTCCAACTACTCCAACTTGTCAATAAGACGAGCTGCAAAGACACTTTTTTCCACTTTCTGTCAGTCTCACTTTTCCCGCCAACTCACATCAAACTCCTCTACATGTCATACTTTCGATCGGTCTCTCACACACACTCGCTGCAGAAGTTGCATCAGTGCACCGTAATGTAGCAACAGCATCCTGTGGTGAACGGTGTGCCATCCTGTCTCAAGTTTCACACGGTGTGCAAGATGCAGTCTTTCTGTTATCCTTGATGTATGTATTGTACAGACTGAGAGCTGATAGGGAGCTGCGAAGTGCAACCAGTCTGGTTATAGCCACACTGAAACTACCCCACAGCAGCTAGAATAGTAGTGTAAGAAGTCAAAGTAGGTGAAATAAGCAAGATGTGTTGCTGATTCACTTTCAGTGCCCTGAATCTCTCAGACAGTCTGGGCTTTTCGGCGAGGAAGTCTCTAGTCGTATGCTAACTTCTCTGACCTTTAAGATAATGCGGAATTCAATCTACATTTGACAAGCTGTCACCTCAAATCAAACCCACGCTTATATGGCCTGGATTTTTTATCATCCAATACTCATTTATGCAACTTGTGGTAGCCGTTATCGGGTGCACCACAGCATCCGTTCACATACTCAAAAAATCAACTTAGTTAGTCATGGTTTCTGTCACCCATGCAAAATCAGAATAACCAAAGACTTTGGCCAACTTTCTGCATCTCACCACTGGGTTTCAACATTAAACAAAACAGATACATGTAAATAATATGAACAATAAATATAACTAGAGAATGCAATTCCTGAAGAAATTGCTAGTGGGAATGCTTTATGCTGAAAAGCTGACGATGAATTGCTATGCTGAAATGTAATGTGTAAGAAGAAAGTGAAGAATTTAGATTGAAATTATACATGAACACTGGGGGCTTGAATGTGTGATGAGAGAAGAAAAGAAAGTGAAAAGACTTGGAAAAGCAGCAGAATATTTTAACTGCAAACTTTGAACTAACTTGATAGCAAATGATCTGTCGCCATGGCAACGACATTTGATGACACCCCATAATACGCTTAGATGTGTTGATGGCTGCATCGTTACCAAACCTGTGAAGTTTTGGGCCATTTCGAGCATTTGAACTGAAGTTGTGAGAAAACCGTGTTTCATAGTGAGCACTGTGTTGCCAAGGCAACAGCTTTTGATGAAAACTCACTAATGGCACATAGACATGTTGAAGGCTGGACCATTAACCATTATCTGAAGTCTGCTGCTCTGAGCATGTCAGTTGGAGTTATGACATCATCGTGTTCCATGACACAGGTGTTTATATTTGAGCTAATGACATGTCCAGAGATCAAAGGTTTCCATGGTGATGTGCAGTATTCAGTGACAGGAGAGCATTTGAATTGTTCTGAATGGGAGATAAACCTCATACATGTGAACGTTTTGCTGAAGAACCGTAACAGATATCGGTGAAATTTCAAAGCATGAAGCATCTCAAGAACTCTGAGCATCTGAAGTGTACTTTTTGTTTTCTTTCGGGTTAATAATGTGGCCTTTTTGGCAGATTAACTCAAGGTGTGCGGCTAATGCTGTGAGTAAAGATCAGCTTGAATTTACAATTGGCTTTAATGGAGACATGTTGAAAGTTTTTGTCACTTCATGCCCTCAAGAGGCATTTTGTTTAATTCTTTTGCAATCATTTTTCAAGCTACGAGATGTTTTCCTACGTTTGTCATGACACATTATGTCTCAGGAGTGTAGGGTTTGGGAATTATGGCAGGTTTAAAAAAATATATGAAGGCTAATTTCAAGCTGTCCTCCACTCTAGCTTTGAGATCACACACCTTAACGAGCTGCGCAATACACACTAATGTTAAAATCTGAAGAAGGCCTCTTTACCTAGGTCTGAACTAGTGTTAATTTCGTCAGCTATTTTGTAATTTAGTTTTAGTCTTGTGTTAAATTTCCTTTTTAGTTTTAGTCATATTTAGTCACCTTCATCCTGTTTTTATTTAGTCTTATTTTAGTCAACTAAAACAGTAACTATTTTAGTCAAGATTTAGTCGACTAAAAGTCTGAGCATTTTAGTCATATTTTAGTCAAAGAAAACTAATTATTTTAGTATACTTTTTGTCAATGAAAACTGTTGAGTCTTTTTTAGTCATCAAATTATATAGAACATTTCAGTCAAACTAGTCTAGCCAAAACCAATAATTTGTCATTTTAGTATATATATATATAAATAAATAAAGATTATATCTTGTCCTTATTTGATGAAAAACTCAGGTTGAATGATTAAGAATGCAGCTTTGCAGGGAGTATCTGGTCAGGTTTGTGGTGTTTTCACCAGCTGTGTTATGGCCACATTGCTTCCCTTCTGATAAAACAATGCATTCGCTTTTTTTCTCCGCCTCATTGTAGCGAAAATGGGCCCAAATATCACATTGTTTCTTTCTCCCAAGCAGTGGTGGCTTTAGACTTTTTCGTTGTCAGTCATTTTGACGGACAGGATCGTAACATTTCCATCATAATCCATTATTACCCGTCGAGTGCACAATTTATCACTCACTCGCGCTGACGGGGTGGTATTCGGTTAACGCGAGTGCGACCACTGCTCCCAAGCCCTGTTGTTGCCATTTTATTTCCTGTTAAATAAGGTTAGTTAGACCATGAGTCTGACCCGAGTCTTCCTGACAGTTCACATTGTGCCGCTGCCCGGTGTAATTCAAATGTACCGCCGCGCGCAGCACAGACACACAGCTGCTGCCCTGCCGCAGCGCCGGAAATGGAACTGCTGGGAGAAAAACTGACTATCAGAAATGTAACGTTATCTTTGATAATATTTCGTCTCCTCATTTTTCGTCAACGAAAGTAAAGAGAGATTTTCGCATAGTTTTTATTTAGTAAACTACATTTTCGTCTCGTCACTTTTCGTCAACGATATTGCATGATGATTTCGTTGCAGTTATTGTTTACTGCCGTCGGTGCCGTCTCGTTTTCGTCATGGAAAAAAAGGTCGTTGACGAACAATTTTTGGTCATAGTTTTAGTCAACGAAATTAACACTACATATCAGTAACCTCACAATCTCAAGGTGAAATAGGACATGGAAGAAATAATTAAATTAACTAAATTCAGCACTTGGCTGGAAATTAGAACCTGATGGAGATCCACAGCCACGTAAGACATTTATAAAGCATTGGCCAGATAAACAGAAGGAGACAGAGCACAGAGACTGAAGAGGTGATAGTTTTATGAGACTGGACTCACCTGGAGTTCACACCATGCCACTTCCACAGTAGTCTCTGTATCCAGTCCCTTGTACACAGTCTTAAAGGACCCTCTTCCAATCTCAATGTCAAATTTTAAAAAGCGCCCGTCTGTAGAAGTGCCCACAGCTTTTGTCTCCACCTCCTCTATATCCTCCTGCACTCGTTTCTCGGCCTCCCTCTGCTCCGCCCGTGCTTTGGCCAGCCCCCTCTCCTCCTCCGTCTCCTTGTCTTTCTCCTCTGTCGGACTGCTAACAGTCCCCCCGTCCACATGTTCTATCGCTTTTCCGTCTTTTGTTACCTGTTGTGTCTCCTCGCATCCTCTGGGCCTCAATGTGACCTCAGGCTGTTTGTCGGCTGTTTTTTCGGTAACATCCAATAATGCCGGGCTGGGTTCTTTCACGGCCCCTTCTGCACTACGTTCTTTTTCAATACTACATGTGGGAACAGCAATTGTAATCCCGCCTTTACTTAAATCTTCCTCTGCAGTTTCTATGTGCCCCTCCGCAGCTGCCCCCCCAGTCCCCAGGCCGGGATGCAGGATGGGGCTTTGCACACCTCTCGGGAGCTCATCTCCTTCAGCGTCTCGCAGCCCATGTCCAGGGGCTTGGGGAAGCAAAAAGGTGGGAGGCCCTTGGCAGTCTGGGGGTGAGGTGAGTATCACAGCTGCTTTGCTGGGCAGGTCCAAAGCTGTGACATTGGAGTCACAGATGACACTCCGGCGGAAGAAGCGGTGCTCGGCTATTTTGGAGTCTCTATCCATGGTGTGGCGCCGCCGCTGGACCTCAGGGTGGACAATGAGCTTTTCCACCACGTCCGTGTCTGAACTGGCGGAGCCATTCACATTCTTATTGGGGGTCTGGGGTGATGGAGAGGGAGAGGCTGAGGGAGGAGGGGAGGCCGGGGCAATGAATATTACCGCTTTACTGCTGCTACTGCTGCTTTCAGACATTCCTCCCCGAGGCTAAGACCACAAAAAAGAAGAATTCGGTACTTATAAATAAAAACTTATGTACACCGTGTGTATGCAGGCACAAATCTCTGCTAGCAAGCTTCTTTTGTCAAATGAAAAGCTCTCCAACCTCAAATAACACCGCAGGAAAAAAGAAAAAGGGATGGGTAAATCTGCTTCCTCTTTGTAATGTCAACTGTTTCAACAAAACAACCTACAGTTCCAAGAAGGCCCTCCTGTACAGGGCTCCGGGAAGCCCCACGAGAGAGAGGCAGGGGCTTTCGCTTAGAGATTGGGGAGGGAAAAGTCAAAAGCCAATCAAAGGAGGGGGGGTGCAAGCACTGCAATGAGGTGACAACCGTCAAATTAACACCCGAATCCATCCTGTTTCCAACATCCAGAGAGGGACATCCACGACATGGAAGGACTGGAGATAGAACAGACCACTATGGCCTCAGAGGGCTGATAAAACAAAATATGGTTGGAATCCAATCTGTTACAGCTGAAGGGTCTGTCAGAACAGGCTGAAGCTCCCACAGATCGTTGAGGATGGGAGTGTAGAGGTCGCTGGCCCGTCTGGTGAGGCCAGACAGAAGGCTAGGTAGGCCTAGCCTGGCCCAGCCTGGCCCAGCTCGATCTGCTTCGGCCCTTGTCACTGAAAATAAAAAGAGAGAAGTGAGTGAGCTGTAAGATGAAACTATATTTTTTTTATATATCTGACCATACATCACAAAGGGCAACATCTGCTTCCACTTGACTAATTGGCCGACCCAAAAATCTTTGAAAGGACTTCCAAATGATACTTGGTTTCTCTCCGAATTGGCTGGTAGAATATAAAAGCTGCCAGATACTGTAACATTTGATCACCAATTGGCCAGAGATCAGCAGTATGAGCGACTGGGGAGGCAGGGTGGGAAATGAACATCAGCCAAATGCTGCCATGATTTTTAGTTGCAGTTGACAAATCTGTCAGTTTATCCAAACACTAATCAGATATGTCACCCATATTCGGATGTTCTTTACATTTAGATGGCAAAGTAGCAATATTAGATGAGTCAAGAAAAAACTCTTGTTTGCAGATTCATTATGAAAATGTGACTTGGGTTGAGGAATCGTTATCACCATCTAAAGAGATCTACATCCCACCAACCACCAACCTTTCCCTCCACAGTGCCCCTGTGAAGTTAATGCAGTGGAGTGATGCAGCAGAGTGTGCGCCTAATTGCTCCACGCTCCAAATTTAGCCTAAAGTCACCACCACTGGGCTGACCTCAAGGTTACTCAGTGGCAATTCAGCAGCGAAGCATGAGAGGGGAGGGGGCATCAAGAGCGACAGAGGTAGCATTACTAAACAGAACCTGGATGCATGTCTGAGGACAGTGCATAAGTATATTACATTACAGAACACTGAGTAAGTGGTAAGAAACAAATTAACTGAATTTGCCTTACTGTACATAACATCCTAAAGATAACTCTGTTATCAGAGTGGCACTGAGGAACAGCAGCTGCTTGGATGATGGAGACATTATTGAATGTGTATTAATTCCTGTCTAAAACAACATTTTTTAAACATGTATTACCGACACAAATAAATATGCACAATAATAGTGACATTCAGTTACGTATAATTAAATCTGTCTATGATGGGGTTTTAAACTGCACCGAGCAACTTTGCACAGACTATAAGCGTGTCTTTAAACTGCAAAAAAAGCCTTTAAACATAAATACAAATACATGGCGTATCACCACCTTATAGCAAAGCACATACAAAATGACAGATATCATTGTTTTAATGAGGCTTTTAAATTGCACAAGTTTAAATGAGCCCTGGTTTCCTATTTGAGAACATGCACGGCACCAGGGATGTATTTGGCCCCACAGTCTACTGTATTGCCTCAATTAGGGGAATTGGCTGAAGGATTAGCACTCAAGAGGCCACAGTAGGTATGTGCCTTAAGGCTTGTTTCTGCCTGTTTTAAATAAGAATTTCTAATGTCTAGCTTTATACATCATGTCATTTAGTTGTTTATTTAATGACCCATGCTGTAGGTGTTAAGAGAAGTCATGTATTTAACCCGTTAGTACTGCTGGAAAAACATCTGCCTTGTTCTTGTTTTGATCACATGGCTCTTATTTCGAAGATGTTTTTACAGTGATTTCACAACAGCTAGGGGGTGTTGTTAGGTCTTCTTTACAGAGTACAGACATAGGGCTGCCAGAAAACAGAACAGAGATGGTACATTTTACACAGCAACACAAGATGATGCTAATTTTAAAGTTAAGTGTGTAATAAAAAATTAAATTGAGGTAAATAATGAAAATGTTCGCATGACAGGTAATGTACTGTATAGTATAGTTAACACAGAGTGTTGCTTCTACCAATCAGATTAGTCCTTGAAAGAAAGTTTTTTGTGAAAATGAATATGTATAGAAAAATATATATAAATATGAATTTAAATTACTTGTATAATGGATCATCATATTGGCCTTGAGTATAAGCATAATAACAAACTTTTACTGAATTGTATTTTTACTGATTCGTCTATTAACAAGCTCTCTGCAACATTATAATGCACATATAAACATTCAAATATGACCCATAATGGTGGTAGAACATTGTCAATTCCTTTTCAGATAGGAGTAGATGGCTAGCATTTAAAAGCAATGAAATCAATCAAATATCATGGATTTGTTAAGCATCATAGGTCCATGCCAACAAGTCGTCTATTCGTTATGGTGGGCTAATTAAAACGTAATGAAAGAAAGCTGTTCATCCTGTTATAGTGAGCACAGGAGCAATTAAAAGTCCCGGGCAAAGCCATGAGGGTCGTTACGGAGCTGATTTTTAATAAAGGCTCACTTTGAATATCTCTCAATGTGAGAAACAAAAGTGGTTTAAATAATGTCTGCAAGTTACTAACTGTACCAACTGAAAGAGCTCGAGCCAATGGAGCGCGAGCTGTGCAGGAGACTGAGCCGCAGACCGGGCTTCACTGCTGCCTGTGAGGGACTACAGAAACCAGGCTCTGCAGCTAAAACACACAGGCAACAGCCAGTCACGATGTGTATAAACCATAATAATACAACTGAAAATGTCCCTTTACCTATTCCATTGGTGAGGTCTGTCCGGGAACCAGATAATATGAAGGTGAAAACTTGATTTAAAGCCTGGAACTCCTCTGCAGGGGGGTCCGCTCCGACACAGCACTAATGTCAGTATAGTGCGTCACATTAAAGCCACAGTTGGTTGTCGAAAAAGCCCAAAAAGAAGCTATTTACAAAAACATAACTTAGTTACAACCGTGTCCTTCTAAAGAAAGGTCCGAACAGCGTGGCGAGAAGCGGTTTGTGCAGCGAGCCGTAGCCGACAGACAGACACCTCCCACCGGGAAGAGAAGCCAAGTTCGCTCGGTGGTGTCGCGGCGGCTCTGGTACTTATTTCTGTCTGTGTTGTCTCTGTCCGGGTCTGCAACCGCGACCGAAAGGCAACTCAAAGATGCTCAATCCTCATCCGTATCAACATAGCCAGCTCCTGCGACGCCGTTTCGCTCCTCTAGGCTCGTGTGGCGCAATAAATCCACTGTGGTCCACAGTTATTCCCCGATTTCAAGCCATGGGACGACTGCTCCGCTGCTCTCTGCTCTTCTCTGGCGATGACTCGACAAGGCGACCGTACAGCTTTCACGCAGACGTGCTGCGTCAACCAGCCACCATTAACCAGGATGATACAGGAAGAGAGAGGGTTCTTCCAAAGTAAAACAACCATTCTATTTACAGCGGTGGAAGAAGTACTCAGATGTTGTACAAGTAAAATCAAGTTGTAAAAGTAGAAGTACCAGAGTGTAGGAATACTCTGTTTCAAGTAAAAGTCCTGCATTTCAAATGTTACTCGAGTAAAAGTACAAAAGTATTAGCATCCAAATATACTTAAAGTACCAAAAGTAAAAGTAGTCATTGTGCAGATGCAGATTGGTCCATTTCAGAATAATATATATGATGTGTTTTATAATTATTGATCATTAAAGTGTTATCAAAGCTGGTAAAGGTGCAGCTAGTTGTAATGACTTTGTATACTGCAGGGTAGCTTGTGAATTTACTCCAGGTGGAACTAAAGTCTGATTTAAAACTTGATTATACTTCACATCATTAATCCAAATCTGTAAAGTAACTAAATGTAACAAATACATGTAGTGGAGTAAAAGTACATGATTTGCCTCTGAATTGTAGTGGAGTAGAAATACAAAAGTAGCCTAGCATAAAAGTTTAAATGTACTCAAGTAAAGTACAAGTATCTAAATTGTACTTAAGTACAGTACTTGAGTAAATGTACTTAGTAAAGTTACACCATTGACCAAAACAAAGCTGTGTGCAGTGGTGGAAGAAGTACTCAGATCCTTTACTTAAGTAAAAGTAGAAATTCCACATTGTTAAAATACTCCATTACAAGTAAAAGTCCTGCATTCAAGTGTTGTTTAGTTAACGTAAAGAAGTATTGGAATCCAAATATAGAGGTAGGCCTACAGTTAATTTATATACTGCTCCTGGATATCTTTACCTATAATTATATGTTTATATGTTTATATATTAGTTGGTTTAAATTGTATATTAGTTTATAATCTCCTGAATAATTCTACTTCTGTAAATCTGTAAAGTAAAAAGCTGTCTGATAAATGTAGTGGAGTAAAATGTACAATATTGGCTTCAAACATGAAGTGGAGTAGAAGTCTAAAGTATATGGAAATCCTCAGGTAAAGTACAAGTACTTGAGTAAATGTACTTTGTTATATTCCAACACTGACTGCGTGTGATGTGGAAGGACCAAAGGTTGAAGAAAAATAAATTCCATAATTTTTTCGTAGCTTGTGAATTTCACCAAGGGATCAAGGCAAGTTCATTTATAGAGCACCTTTCAACACAAGGCAATTCAAAGTGCTTTACAAAATCGAAAAACATTAAGAGCATTAAGAAATAGTGCAATATATTGCAGGTAATTAAAAAGCAAAGAGAATACAATAAAGCATACTGTAAATCAAGCTGGTATAGAATTACTAATAATCAAAAAAGTGATTTATCCCTAATAGAATCATTTATTTATTTAATACGTTGTGCATTATTAATCTCAATCTGAAAAATAAAAATGGTTATTAAATTGTAATGGATCAGAAGTAAAGTAATATAACACGAACATTCTACAGTGTAAGTAGCTTACGATTGTTCTACAATACATTACATGTAATTGTTTCCTATACAACACTGGAAATGACCAAAATATGGAGTCACAAAATCCCGCCCAAATGTTTTCAATCTACTGTACAGTGCTATTGTTGAATATAATCCCTATTTTTTTAGGCTACGTGTTTGAGTACATCCTGCAGCTCTCACGCTATTGACTCACACCACACCTCTGATCTGTCCTGTGTTATTATTTCATAGAGGACACAGAGGCAGCCGTCTGATCTGTGTGTGACCTGACAGATCCAGCTGTGCTCCTGCTGTGTCCCACAAACAACTGGGGAAGGAGGGGAAACTACTTTCACCTTTTTCTGGTTTGCTACAACAGTTATATAGTTATACAGTTATTTATAGTCTTGTATGTGGATATATATTCAGGGGAAAAAACTGTGTGGTCATTTATATTTTATTTATTTTTTGTAATTGGTGGATCAATATTTAAGATCTGAGTTAAAGTCAGGATTCAGTCCAAATTCAGAATTCTGAGATAAAAAAAAAAGTAATGTAACCCTGACCTAACTCTTCCGTATTCTATAATTTGTCTTTATTTTGAAAAAGATTGATCTTCTTGACTAGAAAAAGGAGAGAATGGAAACATTTCTACAATGAATAACTACAGTTAATTGCTGAACCAAGAACTGCACTTTAAATATTATTATTAATATTGGGTATTTTAAGGCAGGGCAGGCAAGGCAAGTTAATTTACATAGCACCTTTCCACACAAGGTAATTCAAAGTGCTTTACAAAAATGAAAAACATTAAGAAAAGGGCATTTAAAAACAGTCATTATAAAAAAAGATAATAAAATAAACATTTAAAAAAATATATGGATACGGTTGTATTACATTTTCACTTACTGCAGTTAAAAACTGATGTCCATAACACTGATTAAAACTTAATACATTATTTACTGAATTTGCATATTATCAGGTGAACTGTGTTCTGTAGGCAGGAAGTGCTGCAACACGTTCACCAATAAGACTTTTTTTAGTTGACAGGGCAAACCGGAAGTACTATTGTTTATTCTGGTGATCTTGTCAGAATTTTGCCCATAGGAGCAAACTCCTCTCAGTATCCTGATCCAAAAGCTGCAGCGTGAAGCAACACATTCAGGATTTTATTTAACGTCAGGTTCATGCAATTCATGTAATGTATGTTGCATGTTTTAAATGTATTGTATTTACTTGTTTAAAATGAAATGTGTTTTAGGTTGACTTTTAAAATCTGTCCAGGGACTACAGATGAAAAATAGCCTCTTGGCTAACTCTGGCACGTTTACAGAAATGTTCATTAATGTACACTGTCCCTGTTAAATAAATATGTGTGTGTGTGTGTGTGTGTGTGTGTGTGTGTGTGTGTGTGTGTGTGTGTGTGTGTGTGTGTGTGTGTGTGTGTGTGTGTGTGTGTGTGTGTGTGTGTGTGTGTGTGTGTGTGTGTGTGGCCTTCACTCTCTGACAGCCTCATTATTACATTTTCCAACAATTAAAACAAATCTTGGGGGCGAAGACAGAGAAGGTAGGTATAGGTAAAGTAACATTATTATGGGTTTATTTTCATTCTTAGTTTTTTTTCCCTTTTTTTTGCGTTTGAAAGTGTACATCAGTTGATAATCGTACTGTACAGGTTTGTCTGTAAGATCTATTCACCCTGATATTGAGTTGAAGAGCCTCTAGCAAGAATAATCAAAACAGGTTCATGTTTTATCCTGCTCATTAGTCTACTTCCTAAAAACATTATTGTTAATTTTTCTCTGTGGGACTTCCTGTTTGTATTTGGCAGCAGGGGTCCAAACTACTTGACACTAATGGCGCAATTCTACTGCAGGGCCTCGCTCGGCTTAGTACGGTATGGCTAGGCCTCGTTAGGCCTTGGAAGGCCTGGGTCACTTTATGCTGCGTTTCCATTACAGTTTAGGAACTGGGGTAATATCTATAGTAACGCAGTGTAGGCGGAGCCGTGACGTCATCTTTAATGCGAAACACAAAACCAACATCAGCCGTTAGCTGTTAGCACTCAGAGCTCACAGCTCCTCATATCTGTTCAGAAACTAGACAAAAGGAAAAACAAATCTCCAGGTGCACTTTGAAATCTATAAAGAGAGACTTGGCCTTTATAATTTGGAATTGAAATTTGCCCGACAGTCTTTCTTCTCTGATATCATTGCCAAAAACAAAAACAACGCACGTGCCTTGTTCGCTACCGTCGACAGACTAACTAACCCCCCAGTGTCAGTAGCCTCTGAATTTCTATCCACCAGGGCGTGCAATGAATTTGCCTCCTTCTTCACTGACAAAATTCAGAAAATCAGACAAGCACTCAGTGCCTCTGCCTCAGGAACAGCAAATGTTTTGTCTCTGTGTCCACCTAATATCAATTCAGAAATCATGACACAATTCCATCAGATTAATGATAAAAACCTAGAGGACATTATACAACTTCTGAAATCCTCCTCATGCTGCCTTGATATTAATCCAACAGGGTTTTTCAAAAATGTTTTTCCTTGCATGGCCTCAGATCTACTTCATATAGTAAACAAGTCTCTTCACTCAGGTGTTTTTCCACAGGCCCTGAAAACTGCAGTCATTAAACCGCTCTTAAAAAATCATAATCTAGACGCTTCAGTAATGAACAATTACAGGCCCATATCAAACCTCCCATTTCTAGGTAAAATCATTGAAAAAGTAGTCTTTCAACAGTTGAGGAATTTTTTTGCATTTAAATAACTGTTTCGATGTGTTCCAGTCAGGCTTTCGTCCAAACCACAGCACTGAGACTGCTCTTGTAAGGTCTTCAATGACATCCACTTAAACACAGACAGTGGCAGAACTTCAGTGTTAGTATTATTAGATCTCAGTGCTGCGTTTGACACTGTTGACCACAACATATTACTAGACCGACTAGAAAACTGGGTGGGACTTTCGGAAACAGTTCTAAATTGGTTTGAATCCTACTTAAAGGACAGAAACAACTTTGTTTCTATAGGTAAATACACATCTGAGTTGACAAATATGACATGTGGGGTTCCTCAAGGCTCCATCTTGGGGCCTCTTCTCTTTAACATCTACATGCTACCACTGGCTCAGATAATGAAAAACAACAAAATAAGTTACCATAGCTATGCGGATGACACACAAATTTACATAACCATTTCACCAGGAGACTATTCTCCAGTTAAAACACTGAGTAAGTGCATTGAACAAATCAATGACTGGATGTGTCAGAACTTTCTCCAATTAAACAAAGACAAAACTGAGGTAATGGTTTTTGGAGCCAAGGCAGAACGTATAAAAGTTAGCGCTGAGCTTCAGCCTGCAATGTTCAAAACAACAGATAAAGCCAGAAATCTAGGTGTAGTCATGGACTCTGACCTGAGTTTCAACAGTCACATTAAAACAATTACTAAATCAGCCTACTATCACCTAAAGAAC